CACGGAGTTTTCGTCCGTGGCATCCCAACAATTACTCCATTCACACACAGAAGAAGGCAATGGCAAACCACTTCTGGATCATCTGCCAAGAACGTATATGAACAGGTCCCAGTCCGAGAAAAGGATCGAAGGATCCTGTTCATATGGACCTGTCGTCAGACAGAACACTAAATAAATAAATAATAATGGATCGGAGGCCGGGTTACATTGCGGCGAAGAGAGAAAGCCTTGGTCCTTCCGGAAACCGTACCTCTGTCCGTGGTGGCGCATTAGAAAATACGTATAGTTCAATATCTTTGCAGTATATCATGTTGTATAATGCAAAGATTTGTTCGCGTACGAACGCTCATTTATTTCCATACTTCTCTGCGACTTCCTTATACAAGCTGTCCCAAAAAGATGTATATACATTATAATACGAAATATTTACCCCGTGTGTATACATCGGTTTGGGACGTCATGTATTTTTAACTCTCACAATATCGGCAATGTTTCTGCAAGGGAATTCGTCAAAAGCTTGCATTTCATATCAATCTTTATTGCCCGAAAGGTTATCGTTTCCCTGGATATTTTGTTAATATTGAATATCATGGGACAAATATCATCATCATCATTCCTTAGTCATCACTCAGACTAGAAACATGACAGTCCTCGGATATGTAACATTTTTTTATATCCTCGCTGAAAGAAACATTTTTGTTCTTTGCGCCGTTGTTGTGCGCAGTTTCCGAGCTCTTTAGTGGAACCCAAACTCATACAGTTTTCTGGGGTTTTTGATTTGTTCCTGTAACCACTTCACTCAAACCAACAACTTTGGTCTGAGCGATGTTCCATCTTGCTTAGTTTTCAAGATACAGGAATTGCCATCGCCCGGACTCGAACTCCGGACACTTTTCCCGGAGTTTTGACCTTACTGTGTTCTATACCTGGTCTCAAGGAGTAAGAATGCCAAGTTTGGTGCAAATCTGCACGTCCGTTCTCGAGCTACGAGGCTCGTCCTTAAAGTAAGTTTCCCTGGGGCCGTTTACAGAAACAAAACACAATTTCATGGAAATATTTATTGCAACAGATACAGCAAGTGTCTAGCTATTTTTCAACATATTCGCCACCGGATTTGAGACATTTGTCATACCGTGGGACCAACTTTTGAATACCTGTGTCGTAGAAGTCTGCCGCCTGGGATTGGAACCACTGTGTGACAACCATCTCCGCCTCTCTTTCATTCTCAAAACGCTGACGCTGACGCTGACCGGACAGGAATTTCTTGAGGTGTAGGAAAAGATGGAAATCACTGGGAGCGAGGTCCGGGCTGTAGGGTGAATGATTAAACACCTCCCAGCTGAACTCCTGCAGGAGACTTGCTGTCCGTTGAGCCGTGTGCGGCCTAGCGTTATCACTGACCGCACTTCACAGTCGGCGGGAGCTGGAATAAGAACCTCCATCTTCAACAGCTGCAACGATGCTACTGTGAGAACGCGGGAGGTGCCGTTAGTGCATGCGTTATGCTACGTCATTGCTCTATCACGTACGCACAGTCGCTTCGCGCAATATAAGGTTTGCTAGCTGTGGGACGAGTGGGAAACTTACTTTGTGGACGCGCCTCGTACTTTGACTTTAGTAGTGCCTTCGACATGGTTCCTTATAACATTCTTTACAAGCTCGCCAACTTTGCACTTTCCTCTAATTTTGTTGATTGGATTTGTAGTTATCTTACCAACAGGCGTTCCTTTGTACGCATATCGGGTAATGCTTTCGTTTTCATATCGTGTTAAGTCAGGAGTGCCGCAAGGTTCCGGTTACCTGTTGTTTGCTGACGATTTAAAAATATATATCGTAATATTAGAAACGTCGTTGAATATAAGTTGTTGCAGCATGATATTCACGCTGTGCAAAATTGGTGAAATATCGTAAAAATGGTATGAAGCTTAATTTAGGTAAAAACCAGGATTATATATTTTACTCTTAAAACAAACAGCTTATATTTTAATTACAAATTATATAACAATTTGATATTGCGTTCTCAGTGTGTTAAAGATCTCTTTATTTTCACCAGCATATTAATTACGTATGTTCACAAGCCCTATGAATGCTAGGTTAGGTTACGTACGAGGTGCGATCGGAAAGTTTCAAGACTGCGCCTATAAAAACCCGTACACTTATCTCAGGTATTAAATTCATCCATCACCCTCGAAGTAGTTCCCCTGGGAGTGAACACAACGATCCCAGCGCCGCTGCCAAGCCTGGAAGCATCCCTGGAAATCTTTCTTTGTCAGCCTGTCAAGCACCATCTGCGATTCTGCCTGAATCTCTTCTATCGTCTCAAATCTCCTTCCCTTTAGCTGAATTTTCATCTTTGGGAAGAGGAAGAAGTCACACGGAGCTAAGGAGGGTGCGGGATGACGGCCATGGTGTTTGAGGCCAAAAACTGCCGAACTTTGAGGGCGGTGTGCGCTGGCGCGTTGTCTTGATGCGTCGCATGTGGAGTTCTTCCTTTAGAATCAGCTGACAGGTCCCAACAATGTCGCACAAGTCGTTGATGGTACGACGTCGATCTTCGTAACATTTTCGGGCGTTGTGCTCGAAGATGGTCGTCCAGAACTCTCGTCATCATCGACAGAGGTTCGGTCATTTTTAAAACGTGAATGCCACACCAAAGTTTGCGGACTCCCCAAATGCTTGCTTTAGCATTTCATAGGTTTCCGTAGCCGTTTTGGCGAGTCTTTGGCAAAATTTGATGCACACGCCATTCCGAAATCGCAGGAGGGTCGGTGTAATGCACTACCAAAACGCCCGTAACTAAGAAACAAATGCTAATTCGATGATGCCGGCTGGCACACTGATTCACTATGAATGTAGGCCGCACACCCTAGCGGTAGAAGCTCGTACTACATCCGGTTCGCCCTCTATTGACACAGTCTTGAAACTTTCCGATCGCACCGCGTATGTTACGTCTTCTTTTTCTAGTTTAGAAAGCTTATTGGTTTTGTACAATAGTGCTGTTAGGTCTAATTTGGAGTATGGATCTGTTATTTGGAATTCCATTACTTCCACTGATTCAACCAAACTCGAAAGAGTTCAAAGAAAATTTTTCATTGGCCTACGTGGCTATAATTATGAAGACGTATTAGTTAGGTTAGATTTCCTTTCACTTCACCTGAGGAGGAGCCATCTTGATGCTCTCTTTCCCATTAATACTTTTAAAGGAAAAAATTTCTGCTCATCCGTTTTGGATTTAATTTGTTTGCGCGTTCCTTCCAGATCCATTAGAGACTACTTCACGTTTTTCATTCATCGAAACTTTAAGGCCAGTTCCTTGTTTCTCCTGCCAATGCAGTCTGTTAACAAGGAGAATATTTTCCTTAGGCATTTTCTCTAGCCAATTTACTTGTAATGAACAGTTGAACTAAGGAAATTATTGTATTTTATCCATATTTTGGTTTTTCATTTTGTATGTATTGTTTATAATTGAACTGATTTTAATTTTGATTTAATTATTATATTACGTGGGCATATAATTTAGCTCATTTTCTTGTTGATTAATATACTATAAATGAATTGAATTATTATTAATAATAATAATATTGTACATTTATATATTTTGTTTATTTGTTTTTGAATTTTAATGTTTCACTCTTATTATTATTATTATTATTACATTTTATTTTGTACTGTTGTCAGTGCTTGGCTATTATTGGCCTTAATTGGCTGTTGTCAAGAACTTAAGTAAATTAATTGAATTGAATTATTATTATGCTCTTTGCAGTTCGTTGAAATTTTAAGATTATCAGCATTTTGTTAACAGGTTATAAATGATAAATGGTTATATTTTAAAGCGTCTGTACTAGATTCATATATTTTGGGATAATTTAATTTAATTTAATTTTCGTAACGGGCATGGAATTTAACTAAGTGGGCTATTAGAATCTTGTGAAGGATGTAGTTAAGTTATTCAATAATTCTTTAGAAGATTTATGGAATTAGCAAACGGACAGATCCTTTATTGTATTTCTTCCGGACTTGATGCAACGTTCAGTATGTTAAAAACAGCCACTACGTTTCGGGAGGTAAATCTGCTTCCATCTTCAGGTGAAAATATTGCTATCAGGATTAGCCACTTCTGTCGGACCCAACAGAATAGAGAGTTTTTACCTGAAGATGGGAGCACAACCACCTCCCGAAACGTAGTGCCTTCATTTCTAATGTACTGGGCTATGGACCAAGTACAGAGAAACAGCAGTAGGGAGAATTTAACGCGACATCGGTAGACACCATTGGAGTTTTTTTAGAGGGATAGATATTTAACTTATTTATTTATTTAGTGTTCTGTCTGACGACAGGTCCATATGAACAGGATCCTTCCATCCTTTTCTCGGACTGGGACCTGTTCATATACGTTCTTGGCAGAGGATCCAGAAGTGGTTTGCCATTGCCTTCTTCTGTGTGTGAATGGAGTAATTGTTGGGATGCCACGGAGGAAAACTCCGTGTTGCCTAGACCACGGCCTTGCCCAACACAAGTTATAAATTCGGGCACCGCCGGGAATCGAACCCGAGACCCCAGGATTACAAGACCAGCGTTCTAACCGCCAGACCACCGTGGCTATATTTAACTAAACATTAGTTAAAGTAATACGTAACAAAACAGAGAAAATTGAATTTTATATTCTGTTATTCAGTGGCCAGTCGCTGTGTTGCAGTTTCTTTGCCTATGAAAATGGCAGGAAGAGTGTCGAAATCATCGTGAAGGATTGACAAAGAAGGTGCTTGCGTGATTTTGACGTAAAAAAAAAAAAGAATCCCGGTCGGCGAACGCGTCATGATGCAATATCCAAGCATCAGACCAAAAGTTCGGGTCTTCTCTGATGAACGACCTAATGTAACCTTTACAGCATTTCCAAGTAAAATGTTGATTCACTGCTCGACGTAGTTCAACGGGCCCAAAGTGAGAAATGCTCCTGAGTTTGACTCGTGCTTTTGCCTAATTTGCACATTACTCTAACAACCTATCACTCATTTTCCCACCTGGACAAAAAAAACAACAAAAAACACACGCTTGTGTAACGGCCACTGATTCGCTTCTACTCCCTCATTTGTTTCACCAAAACAAAAGACGTCAGAGACGCGTCTTAACACGTCGCTGCCTAGTTACCCCTCTCTCGCTATTCTGACATTCCGGGAACTTAATTGTCACACCTCGTCCATTTATTATGGCGACGTGGTACTCATTTTAAAATAGTATTTAATTAAAAGCTAAATAGTATTTTGGTTCTCTCAGCATTTTATATATTCTGACCAATTCAAATGAGACATTGCCTTAGAAAACGAAAGAAATTTTGATTCGTGGAACTAAAATCCGAGGACACAAGTTTTTTAAAAGATATTTCTGCACATAGGAAGACAAAGAATAAATGTACGTAGATTGGATGAAAACAGGCAGGGCAGGATGAACTAGGATTGTAAAGCCACAAGGCAAAGAGAAGGAGTGAATCTAAGGAGACACTGAAAAGATCATTTCGAGGACCGTAGAGGCATTGAGTTCCTCAAGAGTCGTGGCTGGGCGTGGTATGTCCTCAGTCTCCTGAATTGAATCGATCCTTACCAGCATTCTAGTAATGATAGATCGGTATTTATGTTTCTAATGCATGAAGCTGATATAGTAATCACATTGATCAAAAGAGTTCCGTGCCTTTGATTGAACTGTAAAACGGGCGACATTCCATCCGAGACACAAACTTGCCTCCCAGTACACGTGAATGCCTTAAAGAAAGCCTACGTCAGAACATGAAAGTTAAATTTACCGCTTGACAGTTTAGTAAACCAATTTTCTTCATAGTGTTCGTTAGTTAAGGTGGTAGGCCTTTGTATGCGCACGCATGCCAACTCCGATACTCTGTCCAGCTGTCTGTGTACGTACTCATCCTTCAATATCTGTCTTCTGTCTCTGCATAACTTTTTATTCTATATACGTGTATGCCTGCCTTTTACACGTAAATCCTTTCTTCTGTCTGATTAAGTATGTTAATAGTAAGGTTATGTCCGTCTATCGAGTTTTAACGTTTGCATGGTTTTAGCAACGCAACTGCTTTACTGTGACTTTCCAAGTTCAACAGCGGAGGAATATATTAAAAAAAAAAATTCTCGATTCTGTAAACAGCTGTGAAGCTGCACTATTTGCATTGTGCAGTGGTATTCGTTATGAATCGTGTGTTAAGTGGCTGAAAGTCTAATTGGTTGGTAATGTCGAACAAGGACCGTTACAGACTGTTTACCGAGTTCACCCGGAGCCATTGTACTGAATTCATTATGTCACCACAAAACTCCACTAATTAAAAAATTAAGCCGGTGGTGGTAACAGTAGTATAGTCCGTGGAATTTTCAAGGAGAAGGCTGGGAGCGAGTCTCGGACTGAACGCCCAAACAAAAGAAATACACCGACCGTGCCACACAGACTAGGCAAGGCCGCCAGCTTCGATAGCTTCTCCACCGGCCAAAAACTATTGTGACGACTATAATTTCAAATGATGGTCGTATTCTATGGTGTTTTATGTTTGCAGTGATGAGCCTAATTTAAGAAAAGTAGACAAAGATTTTGTGTGTCTATAGGAGTCCTGAAGGGAAGAGGACTCTTGAAAGACCTAGACTTAGAAGGGCGGATGGGAGAGTATGGACTAGATTAAACTGGGTCGGGGGTTGATTGGTGGGTTCTCGACAGAAAGAACAATAAGGGTACAATTTGGTAATGCACTTTGTAAATCTGTAATCTGTAACTGCTTAAATGCAAATAGAAAATTTGTATGGTGCTTAAAACTCATGGATTTAGTGCGGATGTCTCTTGTTCTTCAGCGACGTACTGGATTTGCGGTTGATACTGAAGTGTTCCAGTGAAGACAAAGTGACGTACACCACAAAGCTACTGATGTGCAGCGGTGAATACGAATCGCCATCTCCATCTAAGCGACCTAGAACTTCTAGGGGCGTAGCTGCCTGGAACGAAGTTATTGTCCTCAAACCTGAAGGGAAGGCTGTTCTTGTAGGTAAATAAATTTTTTATTAAACTTTACTTTTTAAAACAGGTTTGCTTATTGGGCATATTGTATTGTGTGTGTGTCACACCCCAAGCGCGCACATGCTCTTTCCACTAATAACTCTTGAAAGATATATGGATTTTCAATAAACGCGCTGCGAACATAGTCATTCGTAGATATAAAAAGAAGATTTAATATCCTGCTGTCGCTAATATCAACCTAAACCTGACTCCTACGTTCGAAGTGACAACCAACAACTTTAAATTTATGCTGTGAAATTCTAATAATTTTTGTCTACTCGGAGACATATAGAGAATTTCCATGTTTGTAAATGTCAGCTTGGAAACAGAATTTCTTTTTAATATATAATTATTATTTTGCCTGTCTTTATGTGAAATTTAATATTCCCAGCTCCGCAGTTCTATAGTTCGACTGTCAGAGAGAAAGCTAAAATAAAAATGTCTCCGTGATCACTCTGATGTTTTACATTCTACAAAATAATTAACTGTCATCATATATTATTTCATTACTCTACGTCGAGCGGTTTCCACGAAATGTAAATTAAAATTTATTGTAGTAATGCCCAAAGAATCTTCGCGGTTTTGTTAACATCACATGTAATTTAAGTAAACGCTGTTTTTGCTATGAAGTTGTTGTAGTCAGTTTGAAGATACTGTTACAGCATTTCATAAAATCGAAATAAACTTTGGTCAAGTTAAATGGCGTCTTGGTCAGGATACTTGTTGAACACTACTCAAGTCCATTATCCTCGACTGACATTCTTGGTCTAATGGATCAGAATATGAAGATTTCTGTCTTCTGGGTTGTTGCGATTCATCGCCCTGATGACGGAGGCAGTATGACCTCTGAAACGTTGGTAAACATCGACCAGACTACACAGCGCAACAACCCAGAAGACAGAAATCTTCATACTCTGATGACGGAGGCAGTATGACCTCTGAAACGTT